TCACATCAGGCCCACAGCAATGAAGCCAGCCAACTGGAAACTAAAACCTCAAACTATAAACCAAAATAAACCCTTAAGTTGTTTCTGTCAGGTTTTGTTTTGTTTCATTTCATTTTTTGTCACACCAGTAAAGTCTGATTAGCACACTTTAAATAATGTATTCCTGAAGCTGGGGACTGAGGTGGGTCCCGTATCCCCAGCCTGTCATTCCTGCCTCATCCCCTTCCCACCACACCCCAGGCTCTGTGAAGTGCAGTTCATCTTCTCCACCCAAGACCATCAGCAGAGTGGGGTCTCCCTGCCCTCCCAGCCCCCCAACCCACCCCTTTCCAGCAAAAATCCAGCTCCAACTGACTCTCGTCTTGGGAGGCCACCGAAGACTACTTTAAATAGAAAAAAAGAAGTTGAATAATAAAATCAGGAGTCAAAATCAAAAAAAAAAAAAAAAAAAAGAAAGAAAGAACGCATGCCATCTGCAAATAAGTGAATAAGTTATTTTGTAGGCTTTTTATTGAAAGTGTGAGAAAAAGGATCTGGAGTGGGCAAGAAAATGGAATGCAACTAGGCAATTGCTTGTTCATTAAATATTTGCTGAGAATTTAAATATTTTATTATTTTTATGTGTATGAGTGTATTGCCTACATGTGAGTGTACCCGTATTGTGTGACGCCGCGGAAGTCAGAAGAGGGCTTCGGTTCCCCTGGAACTGGAGCCAAGGTTGGCTCGCAGCCTCCATGTGGGTGCTGGGAATCGAACCCAGGTCCTCTGCAAGGACAGTCAGCGCTCCCTACTGCTGAGCCATCTCTCCAGCCCCTGAGAATTTATGCTACACAATGTTCTAGACCCTGTGAATAAAACAGTGAACAAAGCATAGAGAATCTTTATTCCCTGGAGCTTATATTCTAGTTGGGATAGGGAAATAGCTGACAAATAGGAAAAAAGGGAAAGAACTAATTTTGATTGAGTGGCTAGAAAGTCTTCTCTGGGAAGGTTGCAACTAAGCAAAGACCTTACTGGTGTAAAGAAGTGAGCGTTGCCCATTCTTGCTAGTACAGCTGTGTTAAAGGTCAGTGATCCTTAAAACTATTCTTTATTGCATAGTTCAGTGAATATACAAAACATATGTTCCAAGTTTCATAGATTCACTTTTTCTAAAACAATGAAAAATTTCTGACATTTGTCATAGTGGGCACCCATATACTCACTGCCAGAATGAACCATGAATGTTTCACCATTTATGGTGGTTAATATCCATTGTGAACTTGATGGGCTTTAAAATCACCATGGAAACAATTCCCTCAGCAGGTCTGTGAGGGGTTCTCTGGATAGGTTAATTGAAGTGGGAAGATCCACTCTGAATGTGTTCAGTATCATTTGGTGGGCTGGGGTAGAGGACGCATATAAATGAGAAAGGAACCAAGCACCAGCATTCATCTCTACTTCCTGACTATACATGATGTAACCAGAAACTTCATGCTCTACTGCCATTCCTTCCCCACTAGGATGTACTTCCCTTCCCCAATTCCTCAAACTCAGTAAGCCAAAATAAACCCTTCTGCTCTTAAGTTACTTTGGCCAGGTATTTTGTTGAAACAAGAGGTGATTAATAACTACACCATCCTTGCTTATTGCCTTTCTGCCTTCCTGCCCATCCCTCTCCCATCTTGGATTTAATTTTAGCCTTCATGTCCTTACTCTTCATTTTGGTCAATTTTTTTATTTCTGGCATTTATGAAAGAAACCTTTCTTCCACTACAAAACAAGGATAGCAGTAGCAGTCTTTGATAGGATTTGTAGCATGGATTAGGTATAAATGTGAAGTGTTGAATGTGGCACATCAGCTCAGAGCTTCCTGTGATTTTCCAGAGTACTTTAAGGTTTATTTGAGTCCTACCTAATTACAGTTCATTTCTAGAGTTTCCCAGACCCATTTTGAAGCAAGAAAAAAATTAACTTGGTTATTACCCCTTCAAAAATCAAGCACATTAGAGGAGGCGAAGTGGCAGCAGTTGCTGAAAAGTGTCTCCTCCTCTTTGTGTGGGATGTTCTAGTGTTGTTAGGGCAGATGTCCTCACTTCTACCTGTGTAGTGCCTACTCTACAGAGCCAACAGTGACCTGGGCTTTAGATGGATGGGTACACTCATATGCCACAATGGGCTGGAATCTGGTATTAATGTTACATAGCTCTATAGAAGGATACAGAAGAGGAAACATGATATTTTGTCAGCAGACAACAAGAAATTCCCCAGGGACCCTTTTGCCTACCTAGACATAGGTGTGCAGCCCCCGATGACACACTCGGCCATTACTGAGACCATCCAGCAGCTGTGGGCTACCCAAGTATGGGAAGCTCAGCACAGCACTTGTCATAACAGCCCATTGCATAGCGTCCAAGTCCCACGGACAACCCCATAGGTGGAAGAGTGACACAGAAGCTTGAGTTTTCTGAAAATGTTTTATACAGTCCTAGATGAGAACCTCCTCATCGGCCTCCAGCCTGCTCAGCTCTCAGTGTGGTGTAGTTCTCTTCTGGGGGAACTGTCTTGTGGTCAGACCAGCTGCCCCGTTACTTTTCTGCTGGGTACGTAGTAGGTAGACTTCCAACAAGCCTTGCAACCCTTCTAAGACTTTAAGACTCTTAAGATGATTTTGCATAGAAACCCAAGACGAATTCAGCCACTGCATATTTCTCTATCCTGATGTGACAATGGCAGACGTCATCCACAGTACATTTACTCGTACCCTCATCTTTACACAAGGAATCCTTTCCTGTAAAAGTACAGTAAAGGTGTAGAAAGAGAAAAGGCTGTTTGATTTTTCCCTGAGAAAGAAGATTCTTGGTTTCCTTCTCAAGTAGCGTAGGTCTAGTCTGAGGAGAGGCCTGTCTCTGTTAGTGCTAAAAACCCTGTGAGCACTAAGCAATAGGAAACTATTAAATAACAAGAGAGGAATTACTTATTTATTTCCATGTTCTACCAGTCTCCTCATTGGTTCCAAGAATAGAGTGTTGGAAGTAGAATTAACTTTGATATTAGCATCATTGCTCTAACTTTCTGTCAAAGTTTATAGTTCCCGTATCATCTCATGATTCTCAATGGCTATATGATAAAGCTTTATGTCTGTTTGCTTGATGGTCACTTTAGAATGAGGGATTATAATGGCAGTTCACAGTTATTAAGCATTTCTTTCATGCTATGTATGTATTGCGTTAGGCACTATACATGTCTTTAATTTATAATATTCATTTTAGGTAGATACTATTGTTACTCTCATTTTATAGGTCAGAAAACTGAAGCACACAGTCAAAAAGGAACAGAACCAACATTTAACATCATCTGGCTTCAGAATGTATGGTCTTACCATATTATAGTGTCATGCACTTATTTCCTAACTTTTTTTTTCCTACAGGGTTTTTGGTTTTTTTGTTTGTGTTTATGGTGCTGAGAATTAAAACTAGAGATTCAGATATTCTAACCAAGTGGTCTCTCATTGAGTGTGTCCCTTGCTATGTATAGTAATTAACATGTACAATACAGAATCATGTTGTAAACTAATGAAGTGACTGTTCATCTTCTTACATAGCTATGTTGATGTGTTCAATTACAAGTGATCTCTCTCATTTTTTTCATTAAATTATTGATCTGACACTTAAGAGAGTAAAGGGTATTCTTGTATTGAGTTTTTTTTCTGGTGACTATAAAATACATTTATCATCAACAAACTTGGTGGTCTTTTTTTTTTTTTTTTTTTTTTTTTTTTTAAAAAAAAAAAAAAAAAAAAAAAAAGAGGACGATAAATCTTTCACTGTGATATATCAAAATAAGAACTCCCAGAGATCCGCCTGCCTCTGCCTCCCGAGTGCTGGGATTAAAGGCATGTGCCACCACGCCTGGCAGTAGTCTTATTTTTTATATTTCCCATAATAAATGCATTTTCCTCTGCTCTTAGTTCCACCTCCCTCACAGAGCTTGCTTGTATGTGTTGTAGTAGCAAGTGACAAAGCTTATGCTTACACCCCATGAGAAAGCCAGGCTCTAGTTGCAGGTACCAAGTTAGCCCCTATTCACAGGGTTCTGTCCTGGTTGACCTCCCTTCTCACTCCCTTTGGATCTTACGGTTGCTGGCTCACTAAGAAGAAGTAAAGATTGGAAAGATTATAGCTATCTTTGGTCATGTTAAATCTGAGTGTTGTATTTACTTACCTGAAGTTATTAAGAGTTGCTTATAGGGCTGGAGAGATGGCTCAGTGGTTAAGAGCACTGACTGCTCTTGCAGAGAACCCAGAGGACCTGGGTTCAATTCCCAGCACCCACATGGGGACTATGAACCGTCCTTAACTCCAGTTCCAGGGGACTCCGAAGCCCTCTTCCTACCTCAGCAGCATTGCACGACACGGGTGCACTCACATACATGCAGGCAATACACTTATACACATAAAAATAAAAATAATAAATTTAAAAATTGCTTATATTGTAAAGTCCTTAATCAGAGAATCATTCTAACTTATACGTGGGAGATCAGATCTAGCCCAAAGTCCCCTCCACCTTTTTTTTTCTTTTGCTGGTGAAATATTTGAGATTATAGCCTCCTATTGGGATTGACGTACACTGAAAAATAATCCAATGAATTTTTTTATTCCTGCTCATTTGAATGTCAAAATTTGGTTTCATGATATTTCATCTTTTCTTTTTTTACATTTATTTATTTTCAGGAGGGCAGTTGCATTCATGCCATGGTATGCATGTGGAGGTCAAAGGACAGTTTGTGGGAGTTGATTCTCTCCTTCCACCATCTCAGTTCTGGGATTGAACTCAGGTTGCCAGGCTTGGTGGCAAGTGCCTTTATTCTCTGAACCATCTTGATAGCCCCCATCTCAAATATTTTTCTCTCACATGTGTTTCAATTTCAAAATGCTTCACTATACTTGCTTTCACTAAAAATGTAATTGCTGTAACTTTATCTTCTGGTTATTTTAACAGTAAATTTGATCTTCCCACAGGAGAATATTAAAAAGTGAACCTCCATATCCCCAGGAAATGAGTGCCCTAGCTAAAGACCTAATCCAGCGTCTTTTGATGAAAGATCCCAAGAAGAGATTGGGATGTGGCCCACGAGATGCTGATGAAATCAAAGAACATCTCTTTTTTCAGGTGAAATTTGGGTGTTTGGCATTCTTGGGAGATGAGTGAACATAATCCCTCTTGGGGCCATTTTCACTTGGATTTCCTCTCCCCCTGCTTTATGACAAATACCCTGTAGGAAGGACCAGACGTATGCTTGTATAGTCCTAAATTGTTTCCCCCCCTAAAGCAGTGGGAGTATAGAAGACCATCATAGCATTACATTTTCTCCATGCTGATGTTCAACCTTTTGACACTGAGACAGAATATTGTTACTTACAGAATTCATGCTTGAAAGCCATAGAATCAAAATACCAGAATTGCTACAAAGAAATCATGTTTTAAGGTAGTTAATGATTTTGTGTGGGGCCACATTCATGGATGGCATGTGACCTGCAGTGTGGGCACAACAGTTTTTGCATAGTAGGCTGTGGTTGTGACTTTGGGAATATGCATATGGACTAAGGAGACTATATATTCCTTGAGTATCTCTCAGAACAAGAGCTATAACTGACACCATGTCTTGTTTTCAGATAGTAATTGGTAATTTCAACTCTTCTGTTCCCAAGAGAAATCTTAGAAAATTCTAAACCTACCTGTTTCTCAGTTACATGTCTGTGACATGTAGTTTTCCTTTTTTCTGCCTTGCTCCTATGATAGTGCTTTTCTTCTGAAAAAGCTTAAGACATGATTCTACTGAGCACCAACACATCTGCCCAAGTCAGTTTCCTCAGTTTGTTCTAAGTAAAGGCCAAAGAATTATAAATAATTGGAAAAAAATTTACTGAGCTGGCTAGTTATTTCTGTCTAAATAGTAAAACCTGGGATAGCATGCATGACCTTTATTTCTAAAATTCTAAACATATATGACTTTTAAATGATTTCACTTATCAACAAGCATGATCTAAATATTTAATATCTGGAGGAGTCATCCCAAATTTTATGTTTTTATTCTTTAAGCTTTTGTATTATCACCAAAACACATGACCAGAGTTTAGTAATCAAAGAAGAAACTGTTAAGTAAACTTCCATATTGTTATCTATTGATTTTTTTTTTTTTTGGTTTTTTGGTTTTGTTTTTTTTTTCCTTTTTTTGTTATCTATTGATTTTTTTTTTTTTTGGTTTTTTGGTTTTGTTTTTTTTTTCCTTTTTTTGTTATCTATTGATTTTTAAATAGGAAAAAGTGAGACTGGGGTATAGCTTAGTGGTAGAGCATTTGCCTAACATGTCTGAGTTTCATCCTCTGCAGTAGTAGGGGGTGGGGGGATGCTTATTGAAAATAAGATCTCTCAAGCTGGGTGTGGTAGTGCACACCTTTAATCCCAGCACTTGGGAGGCAGCGGCAGGTGGATCTCTGTGAGTTCAAGGCCAGTCTGGTCTACAGTAGTGAGTTCCAGGACAGCTGGGGCTGGTGCACCCGTATCGTGCAATAAGACAAAAAAAAGAAAAGAAGGTCTCTTTATTTCTCTGCTTGAAAAAGAGCATCTTTATTTTAGTCTCAGTGTAATCCAGTTTTTAAAATTTTTATTTTTTTTTTTATGTGTATGAGTGTATTGCCTGCATGTATGTGAGTGCACCCGTATCGTGCAATGCTGTGGAGGTCAGAAGAGGGCTTCGGATTCCCCTGGAACTGGAGTTAAGGATGGTTCCTAGCTGCAGTGTGGGTGCTGGGAATCGAACCCAGGTCCTCGGTAAGAGCAGTTAGTGCTCTTAACCACTGAGCCATCTCTCCACCCCAATGTATTCCATTTTTTAAACATTACTGTAAAACTTAAAAGAGTTGAGTGATAAATACATTTAGAATACAATGAACCCGGTATTGTGCATTGCATAAATTCATATGGCTGAGAAAGGTTAGTATTTAAACGACCATTATATCTTGTTCATAAGTTTGGCTCAAAAATTAACAAGTAAGCCAGGCGTCCTGGCTAATGCCTTTAATCCCAGCGCTTGGGAGGCAGAGGCAGGTGGATTTTTGTGACTTCGAGGCCAGCCTGGTCTACATAGTGAGTTCCAGGACAGCCGCGGCTACAGAGAGACACTGTCTCAAAAAAGTCCAAAAAAAAAAAAATTAACAAGTAAAATTCAAGAAGTTATTTAAAAAAGAATGCCCCCTGTCGTATTTTTCTAAGACCTTTTCCTCCATTGTTTCCTGTGATTGTGAATATTACAATATGTCTTTGGTATTAGAGGTATTTCTCTTCTTGGTAGCTTGGAATAGCAGTCTAAATTTATGTAATTGATTTGGCCTTAAAATTATATAGACCAGAATTCAACTTATTAAAAGATCTACATGGTCCCTTTCTCCATAAAGGAGCAGAGGTGGGAAGAATCACAATAGCATTCAGTTTTCTACACATTAAACATTGTCCTGCTAATAACATATTTCTTTAAATTACCCATTTAGAAGTTTCTCATCTTTAAGATTTTTTTTATTATTTTAAATTTGTTTTTATTAAATTCTTTGTGTATTTCATACAGAGTATCTCAAACAATCTTAATCATCTTTATACCCCTGTGCCCACTGACACCCTCCCATAGCCTCCCCACAGGAGGCTATACTCTGTCATCCCTGATGAGGCCCACTGTGTCATCAAGTGTCCCCATTCCCTGGTGCACATCCATCCACTGAGGTCCATTTTTTAAGCATTTATTTACTGTGTGAGTATGTGTACCAGCTCATGCACCATGGTTCATGTATGGAGGTCAAAGGACAACCCAAGGAGGTTAGTTCTCTCCTTCCACCATGTGTGATCAGAGATCAAACTCAGGTCAACAGGCTTAGCAGCAAACACCTGCATCTGCTGAACCATCTCACCTACCCTAGAAATTTCTTTTAATGTATATTCAATAAGCCAAACACACAGCTATAATGGAAAACATTGCAGCCACTTAGAGGAATGAACACTAACTGGAAAGTGAACACTGTTCAAATCCTATGAACATACATACACTGTTCAAATTCTACCAGCTGGTATTTAAGTGAAAAGGTTAGTTCCTATTTCTGTGATCCAATTTCCTTCTGGCTCAAATAAAGAATATTAATTTATCTCTAAAACCAATTGTAAATGAAAAACTTGAATATCTGTAATTTAATTATTTCTGTTGCCATCACAAGAAAGCATAGTAAAAAACATTTTAGTTTTTATTTAAAAACAATTTGCAGCCGGGCATGGTGGCGCACGACTTTAATCCCAGCACTTGGGAGGCAGAGGCAGGTGGATCTCTGTGAGTTGGAGGCCAGCCTGGTCTCCATGGTGAATCCAAAACAGCTGGGGCTACAGGGAGACCCTGTCTCAAAAAGACCAAAAAAAAATTTTTTTTTAATTGGGGGCTAGAGAGATGACTCAGCAGTTAAGAGCACTGGCTGCTCTTACAAAAGACCGGGATTCAGTTCCTAGTACTCGAATAACAGCTCACAACTATCTCTAACTCCAGTTCCAGGGACTCAGATATCCTCTGTGGTCATTGTACATATGTGGTACACTTACATACATACAGGCAAAACATACTTACACCTAAAATTAAAAATAAGTATTTTTAAGAACCAATTTGCTGAATTCTATCAACCAAAAAGTGCAAGTTTTCATACTTTCCCATCACTGAAATCAATATCCATCATAAAATGTGAATCATCTTACTATTGCTATTGATAATGCTTTTCACTTTCTTGATGGTAGGTAGACTAATACCGTACTATCAATGGTGACATCTTATATTTGAAGACATGGTAATAAGAAATCTGTAAAATTCAATTCAGTAAGTATTATTTTTAATATTTTGAGGATATTTTAATTTGACACAAGGAGTGTAAGAAACAGCAGGGGATTGGGTTTGAATGATACAAAACCCATCAAAATTCAATTCAGTAAATATTTTTAATATTTCGAGGATATTTTAATTTGACTCAAGGAGTGTAAGAAAGCAGCAGGGGGTTGAATTTGAATAATACAAACCCATCTGTTTACTCAGATGGTATATGAGCGGGTAGACAAGAGGTTAGGATTATCATTTGAGGGAGCTAAGAGGCGATATCTAAACTATTTTAGTAGAGTTGAATGACAACTGCTCCTACCATAGCATCATTTAAACTTCAGATGTAAACAAACACTTGATTGTGGCGCTTTCACATTTTAATCTGTCTAGATGACCCAAAGGAAAACCAGTGCAAAAGGTGAATTCATTGAGTCCTAGAATTCACTGAGTCTAGAAAATAGAGTATTCCTACAGAGTTAACATCATATCCACAGACCATGTTAAAGCCCTTCATTGCAATATCTTGTGTTTCGAAGGGGGTTTCTTTCTTTTCTTTCTTTGTTTCAGCTCCTTTTGTCCAAGGCTAAGGACAAAAATAATTTTTTTCTGGTATATAAGGGTGAACCAGTGTGGCTTGGTGCCACCCAGAGGACACTGAAATTCCTGCTGTGGGGAAGCAGGAGGCTCACTTGGAGAGGCAGCCTTTGCTGGAGCTAAAAGCTGCAGTCTGAAAACAGGCTCCTCCTTGGAAAAAATCATATTTTTAATTCTTGCTTTAAAATATGCAGTTTTTATTTTTAGTTTCTCTTCCTATTAATTAAAATCCTAATCTCTTTGTTCATATTTTGACTTTGTTGATTTCTACTTTGTTCCAATCTTCCTTCTCTGCTTTAGAAAATAAATTGGGATGATTTAGCTGCCAAAAAAGTATCCGCACCATTTAAACCAGTGATCCGAGATGAATTGGATGTGAGTAACTTTGCTGAAGAGTTCACAGAAATGGACCCCACCTATTCTCCTGCAGCCCTGCCCCAGAGCTCTGAGAGGCTGTTTCAGGTAATCTTCCAGTATGCTAGATGTGCTTTAGAAGAAAAAGTCAGTTTTCCTCTAGTAAAGTAGTGTTGTTGATATCTTAAAATCAGGGTTCTTGTTGGGTGTGGTAGCGCACAGCTTTAGTCCCAGCACTTGGGAGGCAGAGGCAGGCCTCTGAGGGTTCGAGGCCAGTCTGGTCTCCACAGTGAATCCAGGCCAGCAGTGGCTACAGGGAAACCCTGTCACAAAAATACCAAAAAAAAAAAAAAATCAGTGTTCTCTAATCTCTATAAAAAATTACAGAGAGCCAGGCATGGTAGTACAAGTCTTTAATCCCAGCACTCAGGAGGCAGAGGCAGGCGGGTCTCTGTGAGGTCAACGCCAGCCTGGTCTGCATAGTGAGTTCCAGGACAGCTGGGGCTACAGGGAGACCCTGTTTCAAAAAGACAAAAA